GTCCCACTGTCCTCCGACATTGCTCATAAGCCACGTATGCTCTTTTTGCTCTACTCTGTAGATGAGAGTTCCATGTTAGCTTCTTGTCGAGGATAGTACCAAGGTATTTCACCTCTTCAGAGAAGTTTAGTTTGCTTTTGAAGATTTCGGGAGGTTTCAAGCAATTATTATTATATCTTGATCTCAAATAGTTCATGGATCATTTCAAAATTATTTATGGGGTTGGAACAAGTGGGACTACACACAGCGGGTTTTAGAAAGTATACTGCAGGCACCTCTATATTGGCACGTGGCATAAATACAATGATTCATAAGTGTCACCAATTTCACCAAAATCGCTTGTGATTTGATAGGCATACGTCTTTTTTTATGAAAAGGATGAAACGAAATCACACCTTTGAAATAACTAAGAGGATATTTCTTCATGATCATTCTTTCTGAATCAGCTTTCTCTGCAATAAACAATATTGCTTCAACAAATCATTTCATTCCGGAAATTCATTATTTCGCCCCTGAGAGGAGCCGATTTCTTTCATTTGAAATGGCCCATGAAATTATATACTTCATTGTGATATTATCATAAGTTCTAACGATGAGTTTGATCTTCCTCTTGAAGATAACTCCTTGGTAATCGAAACGTGTCGAGGTGTTAAAATAACGGTTTGGTGTTGGGAAAAAACTCCAGTAATATTCTAATGATGTTGTCTTCGGTTTATATAGAACCTAAATAATTGACACTCGCATAATCTGGAATACTTACCCCATTGAGGTGTGGTAAATCAAGAGCAGCCGGAACATATGTCGTTGCCGGACTACAACGTGTACAAGCTCGTCTCAAAGCAGGTCTTTGACGTGATCCATGACATCTCACTGCAAACCGCAGTTCCTCAGCCATTTCTGAGCAGAGGGATTGTCGATCTGTCTGGGCGTTCTTCCTGCTATTCCAACAAAACTCCAATATGGCTACAATAATTGCCAAAGCAAGACCGCAGAGAAGGACAACAAAAACCCCTCCTGTAAAAAGTATTACCATCAAAATGATGAACTGGAATTTAAATATCGAGTTGAAGAATTGAAACGAAAATGTTCATCGAATTGATAAAAATTTTATACCGATTCACTTTTATAATACATGGAAACATGTAATTTCAATTGGTATAAGTCCTTGCGAAATCAATATAGTTTCAGTTGGAAAAATGGGAACATTGCACTACAGATTTTCCACTACATGACAACAGATGACGATAATGCTCGCTTGTATCATAGCAATACTGATAACATTGATGAAACATTTTTCATCACCTCCAGATGATTTACACTATATGGTAATTGTTAAAGAAACCGGAATGACTATGCAAAACTTCTCATACAGTAATTCAGAATTACTCAATTCACAAGAAGAAGAAGAACTCAATTCACAGATGAGAAGCGTTTCACGTGGCGTACCTCAAGGATTTATTCTTGGGCCTACCATTTTTCTCATGTAAATAAATTCGATTTCGAAATTGAATCGTAAATTGAAATTGTTTGCAGATTACACAATTNCATGGAATAGAAACATATAAGGTTAAGTCGCCACATCTGTCCCATTCAGTACGAATATTTGAACATTCATATTATGCAGAATATTTACCGTATTTAATATTTACAGTATTCAGAAACCCAGAGCTAACTAATATTGTTTTTCAGGCGATATGGCTCTAATATGTAGTAAACCTTCTGGAAGTGATGAATAATAATCTATGCAATACATAGTCTTGAAAAGGTATAGAGAATAAGACAGACAACGGCTGAAAAATGATAGGCGAAGAAAACTGAGAAATATACAATAACAACTATTTCAACCTAGCGAGGAATTTCGGATTTCCAACGTCAATGGGCAATAGGAGAATGCGAAGTGAGTGTTAAGTACTGATCAAAGCAGTTAGTCAGGGAGCTTACATATATTTTTGTACATTTCAGGTATGGTTTTCTATGGAACGGAAGATTCCTATTACTATGATGTTAAATGAATAAAATCAACTTGTAACTGAAATATATTGTTTATATTGTTGACATCCTCTGAATAAAGATCTTAAAAGGTGAGGTAGTGTTTTGAAAGGTCACATAGGAGTAGTTTGGATCTAGTGCAAAATTGAAACGTAACAATATCACAAAATAAAGCAACTAACTACTAAAATATGCAAACCTAGAAATTTATTGGACATTGATACGCATATCTCTTATGCGTCAATTCTGCCCGTAGGTTGGGCTACTTATCGCGCGCGTCCCCAGGTGGTGGATAGAAAAACTGGGAGGTGGTGGAGACCGGGAGCCCTGTCCGGGAAGCCAACGTGGCCTTACGGACGAGGTCGCCGGATTCCAGGTCGGTGGCAGAAATAACTAGTGTGAGAGGAACCAAACCTCCCCAAAAGCCTTTGCGAAACATGCCACCGTGGACCAGCCTACCCAAGCTAAGGTGTGAGGAATCGTGCCGACAGCTAAATGGCCGCATCAGGGTGATACGTGGTTACGAACGATCTCCTTGGGGAACTGGGCGAAACCTCATTATAATTAGCCTTCCTCCGTTAATGCGGGGCTCTGCCAGAGTGACCAACTCTTCCCTTGCTACTCGTGAGAACACACATGAATGAAACAAATATAAAAACAGAACACAGAAGAAACAAAAACCAATCCCGAGGCTGCACAGAAATGCTCACCTCAATCTATGGCGGTGGCTGGGGACGAACAGAAAGAAAGGTCCACCCCAATCTACCGCTCGAAATGAGGCTGGACATGGCAGATCACCTCGTGATATAATACAAAGGCAAAGGCGTAACCGCATTTGTAGCGCCGATTCCAAAAGGAGAAAAAAAGCTAAAGAGGCAGGAGTGGCAGTAACTATAAGTGCTTCCTTCTCCTCACCTTCACTGAGGGAAACCCAAGAAGGTTGAAGAAGCCGCGCAACAACAGTAATGTCGCTGCACCTTACAAAACTTTCACGAAGACTGTCGTGAGACACTTCAAGGTTACCAAAGAGAATATGTGTTCGCCGAGTCTTGGCCTTCACCGGCCGATATAAAGGAGATGTTTCCCAGTGACCTGTCCACCTTCTTGGAAGGTGGACAGGTCACTGGGAAACTACAGATACAGAGAATGTCAATTCTGATTTTCATGATCACTTCATAAGGAAATCAAACCATTTAAGAACTATCCAAATACATAGTTGGAATCCATTGAGCTTTACTGGAAGGAAAATTTACAATAGTCTGCCCAAATACATAAAGAACACTAATTCCGCCATCAAATTCAAGAAATCTTTTACAAAGTATTCTTTATCTGTCGAAGATAATGATTGATTTCATGAACATAATCACTGACCTAGTCGGGCATGTTAGTGGTGTTTTTGATTTTCGGCAACCCTATTGTAAATTTAATTATCTTGTTCAAAAACATCGCGTAGCAAATTAGGGACATCCAACCAGAAGAATCAACTTCACCAGTACACCGATAAGTGACATCTTCGGGGGGCAACTAACGTCGAGCACTTTTCACAACGGGGACCACATCACTGAGAATATACAGCCTTTCCTCACCCTGCCACTCAACATTGAGAAAGTGAAGACTGACAGAGAAGCATTTAAGGTACTTGTTTCCAAGTACAGTTTAGAGGGACTGACTTCGTCGAAAACAAACGAGAAGGTCGAAGCGCGGGAGCAAATTACGCTCTGTAAACTTCCCGTTATCCTTATTTTGCATCTGAAGTTTTTTGAATACGGCCACGAGCGTTGCACGAAGATTATCAAGGCTTTGGCTTTTGAATTCGACTTGAAAATTGATTCGAATTTGCTATCGTCGGAAACATAGTCTCCAACAGAGAAGCAATACAAGTTATTCGCCGTCGCGTCGTTTACCACGAAGAAGAAGACGTATTGAATCCCTAGGGAACGCGAGTTCCTTATTTGCTGTTCTACAGGAAAAGCGATATGATCCTATCTAAATAAGGTTGCTGCTTTGCATATACCAAGTGAGCGAATGAATGTCATTACGAACTGTTATCGAAAACATGAGTAGATTAAACTAACTCGTGACATAAAGTCGTAATTTTATGAACAAATGGAGTGGTTCATCTTATAATGTTATCCAGATTTGGTGCTGAAAAGATGATAAGCCGATGTTTCGTCTTATAGAAAATGCATTTTATGGATCACAAATATAAAACAGTTTCATCACAAGTCCAATTCAAACAGATATGACAAATCAAAACATAAATGTTGGAAGTGCTTCAAAGATAACCACAAGACAAAAAATTGCCGATATATCATTGAAAACCTAGGAAAAATCTTCATTAAAAACGGAAGCATGTATTTCTGCATCAACATCAACACAATATAAAAAAAATCGTGGGTTTGGACTCAGAAAGCACCTCAAACATGTGCTACAATGAAAAAAACTGCTTAGACCTCAAAAAGTCTAACCAAGGTATACTAAAACTAGCTTCAGAAGAATAAACAGCAGCTATCCAAGGTATGGGTTTGATAAAAGCACAATTTCGAACAAACAATTTGGTGAACCTTGTTCAAACCCTCTCCGTTCCCAAACTGACTACAATGTTATTATCAGTTGGTGAAATACAGAAAGAGTTCATATTCATGAAATAATGTGGTGCACTTATTCAAGATGAAGGAGAAAATACAAAATTAGAGGCTACCAGATCCACTGGGCTTCACTATGCTAGCATAAGAGGAGCTTTCCTGAAGTATCAAAGTTGAGAATTCTGAATTTGAACTTTGTCACTCAACATTGGGACAAATGAGTATACAAGATTGGAGATGTTAGAAACGAGAGTTCGATAGGGCTCAAATTCAACAGTTCTGAGGTAAAATCTGTCTCAAAGAGTTACACATGGTAGCAGTCAGATTCTATAGATGAATATAGTCGTTATACCACAGTGATGTTTCTCAAACAGGAAAATGAATTTTTGAACAATCATCAGCTGATAATTCCGCAAGTAACGGATACATGACTTTCGAAGATGCTGCAAGAAAGGCATGCATCTTAAGCAGTTGATCTTCAATATGGACACACACACCATCAAGTTATCGAAGTGATATTTCCGCTCACGAACGTATAGACATAAAAAAACATTGCTCACGCGAGAAAGTGTAGAATTGAGATGTTTTTGTTTGGTAGGGTCATCAGAAGATAAGAAAGCTGACATCTTGCGAGTTACGTGGTACCATCATATTATAAAAAATCACCGGTTAATATTTCAGAAGGGGATATTTTGATCGAAAGAAGTTATTTAGGAAAACTTGTTATAGCACGTAATTTGTGTGAGGGGGAGTTTTGGTATCCGTTTATGTTCCACTTATCATCCATACTATGCGTATGGAACTTTTTGTATAGGGATTATAGGAAATCAACTCCATAATGTGATTTTGACGTACAGTTTTTGATAAGGTGGGGCAATTGTGACAGTAGGTTTTAAAATCGCTATTTAAATGAATATGCTTGTGTCATCTATTAGCCGGAGCCAGAAATATGCTAGTCTGAACTTGGATTTCAGTCGAGTACAGATAAGTGAAGAGTGTGTTTCATTTTTACAAATATTTTGTTATACATTTACCCCGTATGTGACAAAATTCATTATTTTTTTCATAAGTAGCAACAGTAACGGACTTTTCATGATCTTTGTAGTTCATAGTAGTCTGGGAAAATATATGGTATAGGTTATACAAATAAAAACTCAATATTAACTTCAACATGTTGGTATAACACATTTTCTCCTTTAAATTTGAATCCACTCAAACAGTTAACTGAAATAGTTGTAGACCAAGTTTTACAAGCTTCATTTGTTATAGATATCATGGTTCGATGCTACAAAATAAAAACTTCAAATGAACGAAAATATTCAGTAACTGTTCTTAATACTGTAATGTCTGATGTTTTAGCAGGCTGAACATCAATTTATAAGGAAGCAAAATCATTCAAAATACCATATGTAACCCTACATTCCCGTGTAATTCATAATATGGAACCATGGGAAAACTGAAATAGACGCCTTCCTGAAACACATCAACAGCGTGAGATCTTCCATCACTTTCACAATGGAGAAAGAAATCCACAACAAATTGCCATTCTTAGACGTTTTGGTGAAGAGGACCGACACTAAGTGGGAAACATCTATATACCGAAAACCCACTCATACGGGACAGTATCTGAACCACGAATCCAACCACCATCAATCGACTAGAAGAGGAATCATCAAGACTCTATTGGACCGTACTTTTGGGCTCTGTAATACGAAGGAAGGTCTTGAGAAGAAAGTAGACATCATCAAAAATGATATTTGCGTTTTCCAGAAATGTCTAACCTACCATCGACGGAGAGTCACGCTGTAGTTGTAATATATGTTGAAATATTTCTCTATCGGTCATTGTTACACTTATAATATTGAATATACATCCCTACCAATATTATAAAAGCGAATGTGAGTTTGTTTGTTAAGGTTTCACGCGAAAACTAATTAAAGGGTTCATCATGAAATTTTGTTCACATGTTCTTTGAATTATTAGAAGTAACATATTAAACTTTTAATTAAAGAAAAAATATTTTTTATGTAAGATAAAAAAATTGTTTGTCAAAAGAATCTCAAAATCGAGCTACTTTGTTGGTTAGGTTAGGATAGGTTAGAAAAGGATAAGATAGGTAAGGTTAGGTTATGATGCACTATTTGGAACCTTTTGTATAGTAATGAATATTACTGAAGTTTTTCCCAACAGCAAATCGTTATTTTCAACACCTCGACACGTGTTTTGATAACCAAGTGATCATCTTCAAGAGGATTAATCTTCCTCTTGAAGATGATCACTTGGTGATCGAAACACGTGTCGAGGTAATAAAAATAACGATTTGGTGTTGGGAAAAACTCCAGTTATATTTATAGGTTAGATTAGGTTGAGTTAGGTTAGGTTAGGTTAGGTAGGTAATAATTTTTGAAAATCGATAATCCCAGCCAAGCATTAAAATATAGTTCTCATATTGATTTATTTCTATTGTACTGACACTTATTCAATGGCATGAATGCGAACGAAGCCGCGGGTGAAAGCTAGTAAGTTATGAGTATAAGAATATCAAGTGAAATGAAACTCTGTCCCTTAATTTATACGCCATTGTGAAAGTACCTGTTGACCCTGTATTGTTGCTTCATGAGTATTGCTGCAGCATTCCAGAATAAAATAGAAAACTATTTTGAATATGAATTATCTCCCTACCCTTGAACATTGAATTGAACCTTTCATCTCAATTCGAAATCACTTCTAGAACCTCATTAAAATATGCAATCATTTGCTGCCGGTGAAGATGTGCCTCCGTAGCCGATGTCTTGGAATCCAGAAGGAATGACGAGACAAGTGTGCTGTCGTCAGCAAAGCAATATATTGGATTCTTTTTTTTTCAATATTTCGTTGATATACAATAAAAAAAGGGTTCTATGAATGTTTACAAATTGTAGTTATCGAACAAATTCCAACCGAGATAAGAGTCTACTAATGGGCTGATTTTGTCAATTTTTGAAAATGATATGTTTTATTGTTAGAAAAATGACCCGTTCAAGGAATCACACGTTAAAAAGTAAGACCTCGTTAGTCCTTAGGTCGCAAAAGTTTCGACTTCAGAAAGTAATCGTTCGTAGGGGGCGACAGCTGGTCGAAAAACCAAATTTTAACAGAGTTATATTGTAGAAGTTGATATTTACTCTAGGAAGGAGAAATTAACTTTTGTCTGATTTTTAACAAGTCTTTTATTTGTTACGGCTAGTTAGTTTATTTGAGAATAGTTTCACAAACCAAAACCGGTCATAACAAATAGAAAACTTGGTAGAAATCACATAAAAATTATATTCTTTATCTTACATTGATGTTTTCATTTAATGATTGATTAATTCTTCGACTAATTGAATTACCTGAACACCTTCTTCATAGGTCTTCACAAAAACGGGTGGTCTCTTGCTTTCCATAAATCTCCACATCTTTTGATAAATTCCAATTTTTGAATCCTGTAACAGAGTATTGCAAAAATCTACATATCATTTGATAATAATGGTCATGAATATTACTGGAGTTTTTCTCAACACCAAATCGTTATTTTTACACCTCGACATGTGTTTCGATCACCAAGTGATCATCTTCAAGAGGAAGATAAAACTTCAANTTGGTGATCGAAACACGTGTCGAGGTGTAAAAATAACGATTTGGTGTTGGGAAAAAACTCCAGTAATATTCATTACTACACCAAAGGTTCCAAAAAGTATATCACAAGTAAATAATGGTTATAATCAGCCATAACCTGTCTCGATGACAGTAGAAATTCAATTATATGATTGAAAATCACAACGAAAGACTAATATAAAAAAATAAGTTATAACTGTGGGTTTCTAGGGAATCACATGCTTGATTCTTAACCAATACCCAAAAAACAATTTGATACGCTTCAATATCATTTTTGTGCAAAGCGGTTTTGCAATATTTTTAACATCAGTTTGCTCATATTGTTTCAAATATTTTCTCAATTGAAGAGATACTGTTTCTTGAATTTGTTTCTAACTTTCGACAATCTGTAAAATAAATAAATGAAGATCAACCGAGAATCTCCTCAAGTGTAATAGGAGCGAATTGAAAAGTTCACCCCGAATGGTTACTTGCGTAATATGAAACTCTGAAAAACCTAGTCATCAACTTGTATTTATAAATTATGCTCATATTTTTCTTCAATTTGAGACAATTTCTAAGTGATGAAACTTATCAGTCCGTGTATGAAAATATATTGGACATTTATGTTATATTCAGGAATTTTTTCAATGTATTACTGTGCGTTTTAGACTTGACTTGTCCATTTACCACAATCAAATATGAATCTCATATATCTAAAAATGAGTGGATTACTGAAGATATCAAGGAGGAAGGTAGACAACTGAGAGAACTTTACCGATTAACAAAAAATGCGGATAATGACATACCTAATGAAAATACTCATGTGTAAGAGGAAATACTATCAGAACAAACTTTTCAAGTCAGAGGGTATACAAGGCTGAAAAAAACACTGGAAAAGGAAACAAGCAATACCCTCAACAAATTTAAATTGGACACAAATTGATAAGGAGTTCTTACATATTACCTACTTTTATGCCTACTTCCTAATGAATGAATCTACCTGAGAAAGTAGAAGCTATTGTATAGTGAAAAAAGTATTGAATTTTTGTAAAACTGTTTAGTGAAAATCTCACAATGAAGCGTTTATTGAATACGTCAGTAATGGATTTTCAACAAGTATCAGCCGAATCCATCGCATAACTAAGGAAATGTACTTATTAATTATCATTAATTTCATTACACAAATGGGTTATTTGTGATTGTGTCGAAAAACAAATAAATTTACAATAAAGAAACAAATGAGCTTTTTACCCTAAAAAAGGTCATAGTGCTGCCTCCTTCAAGTGTTCCATATCCTATTTCGGTTTGTTCAGCAAGATCCTGGGCACTTTCGATGGGAGTAATCATCCTTTCGACCGTTAGGAAGGCGGCCAAATTCGCTGTATATGACGAAATTATTATCAGAGTGAAAAACCACCAAATGCCTCCGACGATCCGAGTTGAAGTAGCCTAAAAAACATGAACTGATTTTTTTAGTTTGGTTTTTGTTATTATATCATATTAGCTGTCCTCTCTGTATTTCAGTTCTCTAATGAGGGTCAAACTTGCAGTGAGCTATCTACAAATTATGAACGGACTATAGTTCAACAGTGATTTAGTTACTATATAGGGTGTAACAAAAAGGAACATCAAAAATTTTGGTCAGAAATAACTTCATTGGATATAAGGTACCTCAATGCAAATTTGCACACAAATAATTCAAACTTTTCTATTCGTTAACAATGATCCAGTTTTCATTGAGATGCAGGCTATTTTTCATTATTGTTCAAAAAAATCTTCAGTTAGCTGTAGTTCCTACAGATAAATAAGCCATTGCTTCAACAATCACATACATACTGTCATTTGTGACACTATTGGCTCAATACTTTTTCGAAATCCAGTTTTTGTCGACATGCGGCAAAAATTTTGAGTATTCATATTATTTGCAGGTACTGAAAATATGTACAAATATGTGATATTTTTTTAATGAATTCATGGATATAGCCGTTACTACGTGGTAGGAGATCATGATGAAAAAAGAAATGAAAATTTCTATGTTTTTTAATAAAAGTGGTAACAAACATAGACATTTTCATTTCTCATTTCATCATTTTTTCAATATATGTTCAAAATAGTCTCCATTATCCTGAATACACATTCGGCACCGATTTAGATAGATAGGTCAACGGAATTTTTTGAAAGGTCATAGAATTCTGACGGGATCGATTTGCACTTTCAATGATTCGATGCCTCAGTTGTTGTTCGCCAATTATTTCAACAGAATACACTTCCTTTTTTATAAAACCCCAGGAGCAAAAGTCAATAGGGTTAAGATCTGGACTGGTCTGGTCAAGAAATAGTTGCATCTTATTGCAACATCTTATTGCAAGTGTCTTATTTTGAAACATCGATATCCGCCATGTTGTAATGTTATCCAAATTGTTGCGGAAGAGGTAATATAGAAACATCGATGTCCGCCATTGAGGATGACAGTGTTCCATGTAGGTGAAATTTCATCTGGAACCTCAAGCGCTCCTTTCACCAACCATTAGGAGATAGAGACTAATTATCAACTCAGTCTTAATATAAAAATCACAGAAACGCTACTTTATTCAGTATCAGAAAGAGATGAAATCACACTCACATGGAACACTGTGATATTCAATGTTGTTATTTAGATCGGTGCTGAAGAATAGTTGTTTATAGAAGACTTTTCTTCAATTTGTATCTGAAAGTAACTTCTACGTCTGATTTGAATATCTTCGTGGAGAGTTTATTTCGAAATTAATTGCTTTTTTCCTTCCTTTGTGAGTTTCCCACATTTTTTGTATGAAAACAGAGATATTGGATTTGGAAAACATTTCTTCTGAAAATATATCTATTTTTTTATTTTGTGATGATGATTGTAAGCTGAAAAACCCGAAATATTTGAATTTCTACTTCGACTCTGTAGAGTGTTTCTCAAATTTGGTATGTATATACCAAGTGAGCGAATGAATGTCATTACGAACTGCCATCGAAGACATGAGTAGATTAAACTAACTCGTGACATAAAGTCGTAATTTAATGAACAAATGGAGTGGTTCATCTCATAATGTTATCCAGATTTGGTGCTGAAAAGGTGATAAGCCGATATTTCGTCTTATAGAAAATGCATTTTATGGATCACAAATATAAAACAGTTTCATCACAAGTCCAATTCAAACAGATATAAGATGAAAACCAGAGATTGCATTTTTTGATGCAATCAACTGATCTTCAGCCTTTCCCGTTTCAGTAAATGTTCACATTTATTTATTATAGGAATGAAGACCTATTTTTATTTTTTCATCGTAGTGGTCAGGCGTACACTACGCCTGAGATTTCTGCCTAAGTGCGGCAAGCCGGTATGATTTTGATTTTAAGATTCGAGAGTAGAGAGGACATCATCCGACCAAGGACTCCAATAATCAGAACAACCATCTTGACAGAGTGATCTGGATAGAGTCTGCGAAATTCGAAGAGGAAATCTCAATATTTTATCAGTTTTTTCGCTTCTTTTCTGACGATATTCGTCTTGCCAGGAGCTGAAAACTCCACGATAAATATCGTTTTGGTCTGGTGGTCGAGAAGGACTACATCAGGCTTATTAGCTTGTATGAGCCTGAGGGTAGTTCCAATGAATTCGGAACTTCTCGTTCCCCACAAAGGAATCAATGTCCCCCGGAGCGTAGGGCAACACTGGTGTCTCGTCAATACCGTAAGAGTGCCGTAGATAGTAATATAGCACTCTTAGGGTCGCGTTATGTTGATGGATATAGGCCGAGACCGCATATGCTGGATATGCTGATAGATTATCAGTAAGTAAAATAACGGAAGAATTCATATTCATGAAATAATGTGCACTTTTTCAGGATAAGGAAGAAATACAATATTAAAGGCTACCAGATCCAATAAGCTTTACTATGCTAGCATAAGACAAGCTTTCCTGAAGTATCGAAGTTGAGAATTCTAAAATCGAACGTTGGCACTTAAAATTGGGACAAATAAGTGAATAAGATCCAAAAGAAGCTGTAAAGAATTCAAGAATGAATTTGAGAGTTTTTCTAGTAAAACAAATTTTTCAAAATGATAATGCGTAGCTGAACACACAAATCACAAACTTGATGTATCCTCTGCTTTTCTCAACTTAGATATTTGTGGTGCACTTAGATATTGAAGATATGAAACCAGAAAATTTTTATGCATTTCTCTGCGAAATTATGTTTGATGAAAATGTTGCCTTCAACACTGGAATTTGGTGAATGCCCTGCCATATATACAGGCCAAACTGGTAGAAATTTTGATATAAGGTACCATGAACATGTAATTTTGGATAAAAAATCATTAATGTACGAACATTTTCAAAAATTGAAACATAAAATTGATAAAGATAATTTAAAAATCCTCCACACTTGCGAAAAAGGAAAAATGATGAGTCTGTTGGTATCTAAGGAAATAAACAAGTCAAAGGGAAATCCCAATTCAATTATCCTCAACGACCAACTTGATCTAAACAATAGTCCTCTCCTGAACCTATAATCCAGTTCCCAAAACCTACATTATATCAAGAGTTTTGTTTTGTTGAGTTCATCGATATTCCAGGTATAGACAATTTATGTATAGGTACCAAATTATTAATGATAGGATAGGCAACGTAGGTATAAATTACTCAGATTTAAATGTAATCTAGTTAGTTTTGAAAATGGTGTATAGACCGAAACTAGTCAACAAATATAGAACTATCATGGAAAATAGACAAAAATGTGTTTTTGTAGTGTTTTCCTTTTCGTTTTGAACAAATAATCTCATTCTATGAGTCTACTAGTTTTTCACTTCATCGATTATTCAATAATTTCATTCATGATAAAGCAGTCATTAATTTTGAAACCAGAATGAACTATACTAATATTATGAATGTAGAAGTTTGTGAGAATGAATGTATGTATATTTGTGGCTCTTTCACGCCTAAATGATGAAACATTACATAAATACAGCTCATACATCAGAATAGCAAAGTAGGCTACAATTTGTAAAGACTGCCTATACCGTTGGAGATGCATGCAGATAGTGTACCGTAAGATCGTTCATCCTAAATAGTTCTAAATGTGTGGTAGCCACTATATAACTATAGTTAATTAAGTAGTACCATAAATTCAAAAGACGATTCTTTAGGTAATTTTAAGACGAACTGTTCATATAAACATGGGTCCGCAAATCCTTCGTTCTCAAGATACAGGGTATTGCAATAAAAAAAAGTTACTCGTAAATATCTTAAAAATCCTTTACCTTATTTCGTTTTGATTTGGCAATGGTATTTATAACATCAAGGAGCTAATTTAGCCCGAACGTGATTCAATTTATTGAGTCCAGTGGCGTCTCGAGCGGGATTTGAACGAATATTTTCGACTTAAACATTCACGGCACTGACTTTTGTACATTTTTTTATTGTTAATAATTGAGTTGCGAGAAAAACAAGCTCCATCTATAAACAATATTCGACTCAGTAAACCTGGATTTCTTCTTATTTCACCACGTAACCAATTAGAAAGAGCTAGTCTTACAGGAAAATCTCTGGGCAATAGAGCTTGCACACGTTGCATGTGATATTCTGCTGGGCTATTGAAATCTGCCACACTGTGACACACTGTAATATTCAGTTCTTCAGCTATTTTCTGAGTACTGGTATGAGGATTTACTTCAATCTCATCTAAAACAGCTTCTTCAATTTGAACTATTCGTACCGTTGCAGGCCTCCCAATGACAACCGTCGATCTTTTAAAGCTGCCTGTTTCAGAAAGTCGTGCATGGAGACGTACAAAAGTTCTTCTATTAGGCACTACACGCTGAGGAAATCTTTCATGGTAAATGCGTCTCGCAGCATTCGAGTTTCCGTGTGAGCATTCCATAACAGAAATGCATATCTGCCATTTCACTGTTAGTAAATTGAACCATGTTTTACAAAAATGGTTCGAAAAATAACCACTAAACACACTTTTTATAACAATTATAAATTAAAAGCTTATAAAGTTGACAACAACTGTCAAGCTGTTTATTAAATGCTGCAATCGTTTTCCAAGGCAACCCTTGATCATTATTTATTGTATTTCCAGAAGAGTGCGAAATTCAATGATGTGGCGCGGCGGCTAGACGTTTGTATTGAAGCCGAAGGAGGCCATTTCTGACACTTAATTTAGTGCAATTCGTTAGTCTAGATGTTAATGTTATTCAATATTTATTGTTACTGTTACATAATCAATAATGAAAAATTGTAAAAATAATAATTTCCAAAAGAAACATTTAATTCCCCATATTATTCCTTGTGAGGTCCAGGGATATGCAATTAGGTCGACTTTTTTTTACACAAAGCAAGATACGAAAAAATTCAAGGGACAAAAAAGTTGTATTTCTGATTGCTACATCCATAAAAATAATGAAAATTGCACAAAAGTCAGTGGCGTACATTTTCTCAATCCAATCTCGCTCGAGACGCCACTGGATTTGATAAATTGAATCACGTTCGGGCTAAATTAGCTCCTTAATGTTATAAATACCATCGCCAAATTACAACAAAATTAGTTGAAGGATATTTAAGATATTTACGAATAACTTTTTTTTTATTTTCATTTCAACACCCTGTATCTTGAGAACGAAGGATTTGCGGACCCATGTTTATATGAATATTTCGTCTTAAAATGACCTTGAAAATCGTCTGTTATATTTACGGTACATACTTAATTAACACCCTGTATGCAATATTCTGAACCATTGATAGAAATGAATTGGATATTATATTTATATTCCAGAATGATCGTCAAATTTTTATAAAACTTAATAGAATTGTCGTTTTGAGTATTCGATGCAGATAAACTTCATTTTTTACACTAAGTAATTCGGACGAATCGTTTGAAAGTTATCACGATAAGATTGATTGACTCGACGCAACGCAGTAACCCATTACGCGTCGCGTCTACTGTAAGACGACGGGAACGATTCTCGGGGGTAGAGGAACGGCGCCGTCGACGAAAACGCGACCCGAACGCGTGAGGGCAGACGTCGTCGATGGTTGTGTTAGTTTTGCTAATTTCTTTATAGGTAAAATAATTCGATTCTCGAAGCTACTCATTACTTAGTGCAGTCGGCATATTTTTTCAGTTACTGTATTTTCTGAGGAAAAATATAAATCACTAGCTGTTGCCCGCTCTTATATCAACGTACAGTCGAAGCTACTGAAGCTAGAATCTTGAAATGTGCAGGAAGGTTCTTTGTATTAGCGTTGATAAGTATCAGGAGAGGAAACCTGGGATTTTAAACCCCCAGGAGGAAAAAATAGGGGTTCAAAATTGTAAGTGAGTTTCGTCAGTTTTGAAGTTGGAAACCTGAAGTTTTAGGTTGATGAAAAATATTGCAACTATTTGATTGGAATGGTCTATCACGAAACTTAATTGTGACAAACCGAATTCCACGCGGGCGAAGCAGCGGGCAACAACTATTTCTTCATAAAAGGCGAAAAAATGGTCGCTATAAGACTACCAGTCTGTCATCACAAGATTGGTATACAGTGTGTCCAAGATAAGGATCCTAAGCATGGGAATCTCAGTATGTGTTGGAGATACAGCTTAGGTTAAATTAGGAAACAGTTGTGTTCTTTAAAGCTTATTTACATGCCGTTTAGAAACTTGAAGAATTTTCATGGCCTGCTGAGATATTTGGGAAAAACGAGAATTTGACAATATCAATTTTNTCAACACAACATCGAGTGGTCCCAAGCTGAGATCTTGCACAGAGAGGAACATTGGTTTAGGAGAAAATTCAAGGAAGCCGCATACATGTTGTTCAACAACGTATTCAGCCAGGCCAGCGTAGAAATACGCAACATATGAAAACCCATCATCAAGCGAAAAATGGCCAACTCCCGCCAAAACGGCTATCTCCCACGGAACCAGTGAAGCGGGAAATGGAAAGCAGGGATAAGTGAAGGTATTTGAACGACCTATAAATAGTCATCTCTCGGAGGAATCAGTCCAGTCACCACCCGAAGACGATTGTAGATACTAACAATCGAAAGGTCGTGAACTAACGTGACTTGGAATCTCTACACTTTTTATTTTCATTTTCTTTTTTCATTCCTTTATTTTTTCGTTTTTATTCATTCAATTGTTATATTTTCACTTGTAGTTTATTTCACTATTATTTCATTTCAGGTTTTTTTTGCTTAATATAATTGTTATTTTCAGCTATTCATTTTTAATTCTTCTTTTTTAGTTGTTTCAGGGATTTCAAATCATTTTATATAGTAGACAATGGAAGTCCGAACTAGTGAAATTCATCATGAAACATTGTCAATCACCTTCAAACAAGATTCATCATATTATATATAATTACATTGGTATATATTCCAAGTGAACTATGGCTCTTTTTACAATTACATTGAACCAATAATGCGGAAGCATTCTACCTCTAGCGATATCACTTGATCAATAAAATACCTTCGGATTGAGATCTGATCCTTGCTGCATAAGAGATCCAATAGCAAACCAGAATGCGTTACCTATAGTGAATCCATTTTCGAATTCAACGAAATTTTTGTTGCATTCTAAACTATATTCTTCTTCATATTCATCACAAGTATCATGCGCCAATACGATCTGTTTTTCTTTTGAATCATTTTCTTCCGTTTCGCTATGTATCTCTGAGGTTTCATCGTCTGAGATATGTTTCCATTCGTTTCCATATAACTCGGTACATTTATTTGGAAGGCATTCCTCACAAGGCTCTATTTCTTTCCACTCTCTGATCGAAAATCGTGCTGCTATCCAAATTGTTATAGATACCAAAATGTACCCGCCTGCCATGTAAAGCCATATTTCTATTGCCAGTGGGGTGAGGAAGGCAAAAAGTTTTGTTGGAGCACGTACTGAAACCTTACAAAAACCTTTATTACAATTTATGCTCTGAGAATATATCACCTCTGCATAAGATAAACGCGTTCAACTCTCAGCATCGAGTAATGTTATACAATGGTTCAAAAAATACTGAAACTAGAGAGCTGTTGAAATAATTAGGTACTTGATTTTCGGATATACAGTGTGTCCAAGATAAGGATCCTAAGCATGGGAATCTCAGTACCTGTTGGAGATACAGCTTAGGTTAAATTAGGAAAAAGTTGTGTTCTCTAAAGCTCATTTACATGCCGTTTAGAAACTTGAAGAATTTTCATGGCCTGCTGAGATATTTGGGAAAAACGAGAATTTGACAATATCAATTTTATTTTTTTCTGACTTTATTTGAAAAGATATCAAAAAACGAATAACACTTTTTCATTGGCACTTTTAAGGTACTACACGATGGTATTTTTAGATTTTATATCCGACGTTTCGTTTTCAAGAAACCATCATCAACTTTATTTTTTTATATGACCCGAAACAAAAGTACACCCTGTATCTGATTCCATTTTTTATTACGAATTCAACGATGTATCACATGCCATTGTTTTCTTTTTAGTTTAAAGGAAAATTACATTTTTTCTATTTT